AGAACCTTAAGAAACGGGCCAAGGACCGCACGCGAGTTTTACTCCTTCTTTCTTGTCCTATCTTCACCTCTTAAACTTAGATGCAATTGAATACCACACGTGCCACGAGAACGGTCATGAACTTGTCTCGCCTGGGGCGGCGCACCGCTGATGGGAGATATCTGGATGGGGAAACAATGTGTAAGCCAGTGCCGGATCCCACTATGTAGAGGAGGAAAGAACCGTGATAAAACAACCAGTATTCTTACCGTAATAATGACCTAACCAGTTGACGAGCCCTGAAACTCAGTCTAATAACCAAACTCAATTCATTGGTCCATGCGTCCGAAAACAAAATATTCAAACATACAATTGAATGGTTTATTTCAGGAACCACATAAGTCAATTGTTTCCTACTTTCCCTTTACAGTCACATTCAGTCACAATCTCTCTACGTACATGCTTTGTTTGAGGCAGATCTAGCACAAGTAAAACGATTCTGAAGGGATTTTGGAACAGACCATCCAAAGACGTGACTAACTGTGATAAGAGACGTAGGAGTGAGACAACTGTAAGAGACGGGGTTTTGTTGGTCAAAACTGAAAAGTTACTTTTCACTGACGTATGTTGTTTATGAAATAAACCATTCAATTTATCCATACGCCACAGCGATGAGCCCCTGAAATGAATCAACTGCTCAACAAAAAAAATGCGGATACGGCTGATGGCTCATCGCCCGCCGGCGGGTCTTGGCCACCCCTGCTCGCCACGAGGCGTGGCGCTCTAGTTACGTCCAGCGCCGCTGCAAGCGCGTGCGGCGCCGCGCACCGCAAACAACCGCGCGGCCTGTGCACGTTGAGGAGCTCGGAGCAGAATTACGCGACTTCGCTGCGACGCGAGAAAAATTTAATAACGGAAGTTCTCATTTTGCTTCTGGAGGCGCGGCGGCGTGGCGCGTTTCTCCCCTCTTTTTTTTTTTTTGTGTGTGTGTGTGTGTGGAGACGCTTTATTTCTACGCTCGCATTATGAGTTGCGCGATAAATCTGCGAGAAGAGGGTCGCTATGCCCAGGCAGTCGTAAGTCATAAAAATTCAACAAGTCTGTTTGTAATTGCCAGCGCTGTTAATTCGGCCCGAAACGTTGATGTAATGAGACAAATATCTGTTAAAAGTTGTCCGAGGTTTTTCTTATACGAGATTCATTCTTTTTTTCTAGCACCAGTTCCATGCAAAGGAGGGACTTGCGAGGTTCTCTCGTCGGTGTATGCCGGATATCATGGGCTGGATTAGATCGCGCTGTACAGTTGGTAGGAGTTAAAAGATGAGAAAGAAATAGAAAGTAGCGATAGCGTGTCACGTTATACAAGGTACTGCTCCGGCACTCGCTTAAAAGGGATGTGAGACACCTTTACGTCCATTGGTCAAATCAGTCGATAAACAAATTCGATTCTAGAGAGCATTTCGCCAACCCAAGCTGATCTTATTCGCTCAGCTAGAGAACGGTATCAGTAACGGGTACAATGACTGAAGCGTTTGTGCAGGTCCATGGCAGCGGATTTAGCAATAAAATATACGTGGCTTTCTTGCGGTACCATATTCACAAATGCTCAACTGTACAGCTCATATACTCGAAGAATGTATATCAACAGCCAATAAAAGGGGCTCAGACGATGACATTAACAATAATTCCGAACCACAAAAGCATTTTAAATGGTTTGTTACTACATAATCAATGATATAATGGTATGTGTAAAGCAATATTACATTTCAACGCACAATTCGAAATTACACAATTTGATTCAGATATAGTAGGCGATAATAGTATAAATACATTTTCTCTGGAATTGACATATTCCATTAGTTAACGACAGAAAGATAACGCATTACATGGTCAATTAGTATTTTGCTACACATATCTCTATTCTGTCACCTGTATGTTGTCCGTCAAACATCTATCAACTTGTGATCAGGACGGGGATCGTTAATATTATGCCTGGAATGTTCACATTGTGTTGAATACGCAGGTCAGACAGCATCAGTAATACTGCACAAACATTTAGTTATTACATTTGAATATTTAGTTGTACCTTCTTTATTTTAAATGAAAATTAATAAATATTTTTGACAAAATGATGTGCAAACAGTTTTTCATGCCAGAAGAAATGAGTTTCCGACAATCAACAGAATCTCTAAAAAAATATACTTATAATGGGAAATAACCTGCCCTGAGACTACCAAAACTGATGATTCAAGAAAATCTCATGAATTGTCAAGATTGATTCACCTGTACAATAATTTATGGAATTTTTAAAAAGATTTATCAGTATTGTTCTTTGTAAGTGTTACGAATTTACTGTATTCATGTTGTCGCATCAGCGTATACACACGTAATGTCCGTGATCGTTAGTAACGGCCATAAATTCGATTGCAACTGAATTGCCACTCACCAAACGTCGCTGTACCTTGGCCCCTCTCTTGAGGTAATGTAAATAAGAAACGTTTTAGTGGAAACACAAAGCAAATACTATATTAATTGTGAATTCATATGACAAGAATGAATCGGAAAATGCTTACCTTCTCCACTTTGGGAATATCTTACTTATTTGAGAAACACAATTTTTTTTTCTGAAGTACCTTCCACAAGGTTTCGCACTACTTCAAAAATCCTGACGTTGCTACTAATTGGGTTTAAAACCAGAATGTCACATTAATATTCTCGGTCTACATTCAGGTGTCCATTCATTAGCAAAATTCCTGAAATCTTCTTCAACAAATTCGCGCCTATTGTAACAAAAGCTACATACTTCAATTGTCCCTTTTTAGACGAGTTCATAGAACTACCAATACATTTATATTTCCATTTTGTAACAGTAAATAGCATGAGAATATTAAATAATTACAATTCTGTGAAAGGATTTGAAATCGCTGGATAAATCAAAAATGTTAAATATTATATCGTATAACTGCATGGAGTCGTCTAGAGGCAGCCTAACTCAAATTCTAGTGTAGTATGTAAGTCCTAGCAGGCATTCTTCACAAAAAGAAAAAAACAGTGAGAAAATTGTTGAATATCGATTTATTCAAAAAGTTCTTTAGAAGTCCCATTTTTCTTTTTAAAAACCGTGAACCTGTGGAACATATGATCGAAAATATGTTTTCTTTGTTTTGGAATCTGTATAACTTCTCATTTGTATTATTACTACATTTTTCTGTACTACCGGGTTTCTTTCACTTCACACAGTAATGCTAAATATTCCATTAAAGGGGTATGTGTATTACATCTATCTTTCATCTATCATGTTATTTTAAATCAAATGTCCGCTTTTACGAACGTGCGTATAAAATGACAACTTCAGAATGTAGGTGTGAAAGTGGATTAAAGGCCTTTGACCTAACCACATACTATCAGGTTATGCAATTATTAGGTGTAATAATTACCTATGAAGTAAACAAATATCTCTGTCATTTCCAAAGTGACCCTCATAGGAGGGGGGAGTAGACTGTCGCAAGACTTAAGGCCCATTCACAATGCAAACGTAAACATAAACATAACGCATAGACGCAAAAATTAACATTAGTAATAGACTGAAATATTCACAATGTGTAACATAAATGTGAGCAAAATAAGGGTTTATATTGGCTGTGAGATATTCTAGTTTACTATTGGCTCGATGTGAGAATCGATTTCGAGGTATCGACTGTGTCCATGGCCCATATGGCGTTTGTTCGTCTATCGACATCGCTATTTCGATTCTCAATTTAGAGTTACCGTTCTTTGATTGGTTTATTTCTTATGTCTTAGTAAACCATAAGCACAGAAGTTTGAATCTTGCAAGCTTTTAAGTTGACGTCTCACGTGTTATGCTTTTGCGAACGCATTGTAAATGAGTCCGCTTATGGACGAAGTCCTCACTTTTATGTTTATCCTATGCTTATGTTTATCTTTGCATTGCAAATATGCCTTGAAGGCTCTTGATGGTGGCAAAAACGTCCACCAGGATCCGCGTTTCTCGACGGTTCTCACGCCGATTGTGCCAAGGTGCGCTCAGTGACAAGGCGGTGCTAAGTTCCGTGTAGCCGAGTTTGCCTTGTGACTCACCATTTGTCCCCTTTCCCGCCGACCTTCGTGCATCATCGGGAGGGGCGTGCACCTCAACCAACATACACTATGTAATCAAAAGTATCCGGACACGTCCATAATGGCATTATGGTGTGGCGGTCTTTTTCGTGGGGGCTTGCACCCCTTGTTGTCTAGTGTGGTACTATCCCGGCACAGTCCAACGTCCATGTTTAAAACACTTTCTTGCTTCTCACTGTTGAAGAGTAATTCGAGGATTGCGACCTACCGTCGACTAGCGGGGTTTTCCCCAACCAAGTAACTACCACCAGCGAGGCACCGCCCCAGCCGAAACAAGCTCTAACCTCCCGGCTGGTCTCCCGGGATGTGTGATTGTGTGGCGCGTGTTAGTGCAAGTGTGTGTGTTTATGTGTGTGTGAAAGGGGAGAGAATACGACAAGGAAGAGGTAGGATAGATCACGCGCAGTCTGTGGCCCGTTTGGTAGGGTACTGCTCCGGCATTCGCCGGGTGTTGATCGGAGAAGCCACGGAAAACTATTGATAAAAAAGCAGCCGGCCGCTGGAATTCTCGTCCACACAGCGACTGATTCGACCTAGCTGGCAAGCTAGGGTCGAAAATTCTGCCACTATGAGGAGAAGAACCCAGAACCTCCCAGTCAGAGGGACTGCAGTGACGTCAGTTCCTGCCCTGAGTGACCTCTCCCAGTCAGAGGATTGGAATATGCCCGTAAGGGCAGAACTGAAATCTGATTAAATTCAAGTTTTTTTGAATAAATAAAATAATATTAATTGAAGCTTCCAACAAAAATATACTTAGAACGAATTTGGTGAAATATGTATTTGCATTACGTAGACATTCCTGTAATTTAGATAAATTCTTGAGCGATGATTCATGTTTTATTTATGCGCGCCAGCATCTTGCAATCCCGCAATGTGCTACTTACCGACAACGCGAAGCTCGATGAAGTTGCTGGTAGGCGGATGAGACGACACTTGACACTCGTAAAGTCCAGCGTCCTTATTTTGCACGTATTTTATCTTCAGAGTCCACTCCTGAAACAGTGAAAAACATTAAATAAGTACATTAATAATTTCAGTCGTAAGATGTAATATCTGCAATTCATTCAAATAACGATAAAATGTTTGTCACAATTAAATGTTGATTTAAAAAAAATACAATCAGATATTACGGTTAACTAGTAAGGTTATTAGCAACTGCATGTAGACATTATACACTATAATCAATACCGGATTTAAATTAAATCGTGAAGACACAGTTTAAACAACTATTGTGACAGTAATTTACAATTGACAGTTAGTCTTATAAATCATTATACACTTTCAGTATTTTACATAATTTTAATATTTTGTTTTTTTGGAAAGAGTATAAAATAGTTTCAAGATTATCAGCCTGTAGGATTAATGGACGTTCGTGGATATAGTTGGTACATGTGTGAAAGATCAGGATAAATGACAGTTATTCGTTGCATGATTCACATGTTATGATACATTTTAAATGAATTAATGTTAGTTGAAACACAGTTTGTAATATAACGCCTCTTTGGAGAGAGAGAAATAAAACTTGTTTTACAATATATCATGAATATTGACATATTGAAATACAGTAAGATAGATAAAAATCTCATTTTGTTTAAAATTACCCTGTTTCCACATACAAACAGAATATTTGAATTCTGTTAAAAAAGACTGCGTTTATTACCAAAAAAGTCGCACTCAAAGGAATCATTATTTTCCCCACTATTGTGATGTAACGCATTACCAGCTTGTCAGAGTAATAAGAAAGTTTCAATTTATTTCCACAACTGCAGACAATAAATTTCTGCAATAGACAATTCCACATTGTATAAACTATCCACCGTAGTGAACATACATATTCTATTTCGACAACACCGCATCTGCCCGCAGAAGCCGCTAATGAATGGAAACTACGCAGTCGCAAAAACACCGGCTACATCGCACTCATCCAGAATGCAATCCTCGAGGCATGCATACGTGCAGCTCGTATGCATTACCCGTAGATTGACGACGCGCCCGTCCGGATCCAGTGACAATCTCCAGCGGCGCCGGGCCCCGTCCTGCAGGACGCCGGGGACGGCGTGGCGCCCCGCGTAATTGCAATTTGAACGCTTCGTCCCCTCTCTCACCGCTCCGGCCCAGCTCTGTCCTCTGTCCTCTGCCCCCCGGTGCATGGTCGTGTCCTGCTCCCACCCTACTCACGCGACGCGCTGTTCCGGGCTGACGCGCAGGCGCCCAGAGGTAACTACGCTCGTCAGAGGACGCTGGGAATATCGTGGGGCGTCTGGACAACGTAATGTGTCTTTGACGACAACGTATTACCTTCTCCTCCACTGCCTTTAAGCCCGTTTTACACGCTCATTTTATCCATTATTTTCCATTGGTACAGAAAACTGACGGAACTGACCCCGCTCGTCAGAGGATGATGGGGCGTCTGGATAACGTGCCTTTGACAACGTATTGCCTTCTCCTCCACCGCCTTTAAGCCTGTTTTACACGCTAATTTTATCCGTTATTTTTCATTGGTACAGAAAACTGACGGAACTGACCCCGCTCCTCAGAGGATGATGGGGCGTCTGGATAACGTGTCTTTGACAACGTATTGCCTTCTCCTCCACCGCTTTTAAGCTTATTTTACACGCTCATTTTATCCATTATTTTCCATTGGTACAGAAAACTGACGGAACTGACCCCTCTCGTCAGAGGACGATGAGAATATCGAGGGTGTCTGGATAACGTAATGTGTCTTTGACGACAACCTATTGCTTTCTCCTCCATCGCCTTCAAGCCCGTTTTACACGTTTATTTTGTTCATTATTTTACACTGGTACAGAAAACTGACGGAACTGACCCCGCTCGTCAGAGGACAATTAATAGATTGCTCGTCAGAGGACCGTTAATAACTTGATATTATTCTAAAATTAGAGCTTAATTTTCTGATTGTTTCACGTTACCATAACGTGCCACCATTTAAAACGTTGCACATTATTGTAATTAGACTCTAGTTTAGTTATTGAATATTCACATTCGTTAGACTGTGAGGCTTTTGGCGAGATATACAATTTATTTTAGAGTTAAAGAGTTGAATGAGAAACTATATTTTCCAAATGAGAAAAAAATTGAAATAAAAACATATGATTGAGAAATGCTCCAGTTTGTGATTATCACTATCAACAAACGACGAAATGTTTTTCGCATGCCCAGGAACTATAGCAGAACTGAGGAGAGCCCCGCCCTGCCATGGGAGGACCTGAACAGTGGAGTGTGAGCTATGAAATGGGTCAAATTATCATTTTTGTAAATAAATAGTTCACATTTTGCTCTTTTTAAATAGATCACCACTTTTCTTCTATCGCGCCTGAAATTACCTTAAATTAATATTCAAATGTCTTAGTGCGTATGAGCCACGCCCCCTTTTTACACACTCCATACAAGTAAGGCCGCGGAAACGCAGCCGAAGGCACCATGGGCGGGTGGGNGGGGGGGGCGGGAGAGCTATGAGCAGAGCGTCCCGACGTGAGGCGCAGAGGATGCATACGAGGAGCCTCGATGATACGCGGACCGCCTTGAATTAGTAAGCCCCTGGACCGCCAGAGTCGCTGCAACATTGATGCGCGAGAGCACGAAGCCTGGCGTGACAAGATGATAAAAGCGCATCCCGCGAGCAATCGCTCAGGGCCTTCGCAGCCCTCACGCCCGCGGCCTCTGACGGAGTCTAAGCTCTCGCCATCCCCGCCACCACACGGTCTCCGTCGCGCCCTTCCGCCACGCCGTTTCTCTGCCACCCCGTCCGCCACACTACTCCCTCCAGCGCGGCCCCCGCCACGCTTAGTTTTTTTTATCCCAGGGAGAGTGTATCAACGTGCAGTCCCTTTGACCGGGAGGTCCTCGGCTCGAGTCCCGTCGGAGACTGGATCTACGACACTAACTTGTCAGCTAGGTCGAGTTCAGTCGCTGTATGAAGGAAAATTCTAGTGACTGGCTGCTCTGATCGGTAGTTTTCTGTGTTTTTTCAGATCAATACGTGGCGAATGACGGAGCACTACCCTACCAAACGGGCCAAGGACCGCGCACGATCTTTCCTACATCTTCCTTGTTCTATCTTCTCTCCTTACACACGCACTTATACTAACATGCACTACACAAGCAAACATGCCGGAAGACCGGACCGGAAATTGGAGCTTGCCCCGAATGGAGCGGTGTCGTGCTGTGGGAGATACCTGGTTAGAGAAACCTCCGCTAGCCGACGGTAGGTCGCTGCTGGGTCTCGCAATACGACGGGAATTGACCACCGCCACAACCCGTGCATAAACATGCACTACACTTACGGGACTAATGATCTGAGTAGTTGACGAGCCCTGAATCACTAACAATCAATCATTATTTTTTTTATTATTTTTTAAATTGATTGATTAGTGATTCCGGGCGCGTCCACTGATAAGGGCATTAGTCCCGTAAGTGTAATTGCATGCTATTGTTTTTTTTTCTCGAGAGGAGCCTGTATAAGGCCAACCTTCCTTAATGCTAGCGCGGTTTTCCCTCAACAGGTCTCTTCGACCAGCGGGGCACCGCTGGGACAAGCTCTAACACTAAGGTCCCGACCGGTCTCCCGACATTTGCGTTTTTTCCCCAACACATATGCTCTCACTGTTAATGTTGTGTCACCACTTTCACCACCATAACTGTATACTATCTTTGGTCGTCTTCCTTTTTTAAGCACCTGCTTAATCCTACTGACAGTTTTTTTGTTTATAACGGCCGTCTTTTTGAAAATTCTATTTCGTCCTCACCACCCCTACTATTCCCCTAATACTTCAATTTCTACTGTTGTTGCAATGGAGGTTAACTGTATCTGTGATTCCCTCCGTTCATAAGCAATTTAGCATCGATCTCTCTTTCGCTATTCGAATTGCGCTACCCGTTTCCGTAGCCTACTGCTCTCCTTAGGTAATCGTTAACCCCGCTTTACTCGCCCTCTCCAAACACCCCTCTTCCCATTATCCACCGAGATCAAGCACTCACAGTTAACACCAAGTCTACACATCTAGCAGCTACATGCAGCTCTGTTTTCGCATTCGGGCAGCTTCCACTTGCACTACACGAACCGTCCCCCGCTGTTAGTCCTGAACACCACGTTAGTAAATAATTGCGCCGGAAGCTGACCGTCTCCACCTGCCTCGTCGGATGGCGGGATCACCGCCTCTACTTGCATTGCTCATCCTATTCCGTATAGGCTTCCTCATCCATCTCCCGGCCTCTCTATCTAATACTACTCTCTGGTACGCTGAGTAGTACGCTGAGCTGGTACTACTATCTCCTTCAGGGGAGAGGGTGCCATGAAATGGGTCACATTATCGAGGTTTCTGCTGAATAAATAGTTCAAACTTGGCGCTTTCCTACTATATTACCATTTCCTTCTACGACACATTAAAGTCCCTTTAATTCTTATTTACATGTCTTAGTGCGCATGAGCCACGCCCCGTTTTGGACACTGCAGATTAGTATGGCTATTTTTTTGTAATTTAGAACGCATTTTGGGTTGTTATTAAGTTACTGAAACATACTCTTGTTCATACGTTGGTAGAACTGTTTTGTTTTGTTTTTTTCGCTGAAGAAAATGATCTAGAATAAGGAGCAGAATGTTCTTGTTGAGCAGTGGCAAGAACAGGCTTTTTTCAAATGGCGTTTCCAATAAATGTACTGATTTTGTAATTAATGTACCTTTTCTCAGAAACTATTAATCACAATTTTTTCAAACATAAGGAAATATTCCTTATTGTATTGACAATAAATTGACATAAAAATGTTTGTCCAAAAACGCTGAAAAAATTAGGACAATAGGTATAATTGAAAAAAATTTATCAATATAATTTTAATCAACTCGAGAAAATGTCAAAGTAATAACCAATGTTTTATTTTCAAGCATGTGAAATTTCGAAATTTTATAGTTAAACATTTTCTATAAAAGCTTCATCAATTGCAAATTTACATGGGTGATGTACATGGTATCCTCGTTT